ACTGTCCATGGTGGAACCCAGTAGGCTAGCTCCACAAAAGCGAAGTAAGTGCATTCAGAAACTTCCTATCCTACTGGGCTTCAGAAGGCTTGATGGTTTGGATAATTTCTGTATATGTGTTTCCAAAAAACAAGAAGCACTCTAAAAGGTTTCCTTATTGGTACTCTTAATCCACTGCAACACACATGTGATGGGAACAACAGACCTGGAATCCCATTACAAGTTTAATAGCCACAACGATCCCCTCTTCAGAAGGTCAAATTCAACTTCACACATTCAAACCCATGGTGGATTGTGATCTTTATCTCTCATCAAATGCCCATGGCTGCTTTTGCTGTAAGTATCTAGCATGTACAGTAGGCTTCAAACATGCTGCTTAACACACCCTTCCAGATACCCCTGTGTTTGCTTGCTGTTTTCCTCAGCCGATCTGTGTGTGTTTTGCACAATGCTACCTCTATCCAAAATAAAAATATAGTGGCAGATAGCAAGGGTTGCACTCACAGGTGTTTAATCAGCAGCAATAAAATGTAATATTCAATAACGTTTCACAAGGAAGTAGCAGTCCAGTTTATCACTGATGAGCTTTTGGAATAATGGACAGCCTGTTTGTTGTATCCACTGCAGGATGATGTATCAGACAGTTTAAAGCTGCACTCCAGGTAAACATGAAAATATACAGTTAAAGTACATATGCAGAAGCTGTCTGTGGCTCTTGTGCGAAGTACGTTTCAGTGAACATAGACAATCATTTTTTGTGTTAGAACAGACACACAAAATACACTGCACTATGATATGTTTTAGATAAACCTTGTCCCTGTACACATAAGGAGCATTAATGAAAAATCACATGTTGAATTGCAGAACAAATGTGCTCAGTACTGGCCATCAGGAGATGGAGAGACAGAAGAGTATGGGGACATTGTGGTGAAAATCACAGGTCACAAATATTTTCCTGATTACATCACTCGGAAGCTCCACGTCAGTCATGTAAGTTACCATGGATGTTCTAGTAACATCTGTCAGTGGTACGTATGTAGTTATATTTCCAAGTGAATCCCCCAGAGATTCTGTTTGTTACATTTTCTCTACCATAATAGGTTTGTTCAAATGTTTACAGTTTTGTGAATGCTCATATAAAATGCCCATGCACTAGATGTCAAGTATTTATATGAATTGCAATCAGGTATGGCTTGGAACTAGAGTTGCACAGATACCAAGTACAGTACTCGGTACAAGTACGAGTACATGTACCAATACTTTTGAGCTCCAAGACTACACTAGAGAAAAATTAAAAACTAAGGAGCACACGGCGCTCCTGGGATTTGTACATCTCTGTTTTAATGTATGATTTTATTTTCATAAATATAAATAAAGGGAAGCACAGATCACCATGGGCCTCTAGGTTGTACTTGCCCCCTGGACTAAAAGTTGCCAGTCAGCCCCTGGTAGAAGGGGTCAAAAAGGGGGGTGAAATAGAGCTTAACTCTCACAAAAGATTTCTTTGTTTTCAGAGCAATGTAAGTAAAATAAGATTGCATTATTGTTTGTTAAAAATACAGTTTTCCTTAACTGTGTTCATGTTTTTTTTCCTTGTGCTGTGCACCCCTGTAAACCTTTATAGGCTGGGTGTCTGGGCTGCTAGGTAGCATAGTGTGTCACTGGGGTTGTCAGTTCAAATTGCAGTCAGGACAAGATCTACATGTTCTCCCCCCACACTCCAAAGACATGCGACATTTAGACTCCAAAGTCTAAATTGGCTCTAGCATGTATGCATGTGAGGTAGTGACCTTAGACAGTAAGCTCCTTGAGGGCAGGGACTGATGTGAATGTGCAGTATATATAGCGCTGCATAAATTGGCATCGCTATATAAACACCTGTAATAGGTTAATAATAATCCTGCAGCAACTGGATAACTATGGCAAGATATGGCAGCACACTGTGTGCTAGCATGTCTTCTTGAGCTAAACTCAGGAGTGTGCATGAATGGGTGACAACTTTACAGCTAAACTGAGTGAGCGTTGTCACCCTTGTAAAGGCACTGTCTGTATGTTTTTTGATATTACAGGAACATGTGCAATAACTTATTTGTGGGTTTTAAGTCAGTGCACTTTAAGTACCAGTGCATGTTTTCCTGTCCTCTACACAAAACCAAATCTGAATTGATATTAAGGTAGTATTAGAATATCACTAAAACATGAAGGTGTGATGTTTGTGATACTGCTTATGGAGAGATACTGCATACGTTATAATGTCAGCTTTAGTCATCTTTGTTCCCCACTCAAAACTGATTCCAAATTTTGGGATATTTGGATATTTCATGCAAAAAAACTCTCTTTGATAGTCTTGTGCTTTATTTCATATTAGGTGGTATAGATATTATTTACATTCTCTTTTTTTGTTGTTGCTTGGTGCAGAAACGAGAGAAAACAGAGCGAGACATCACACACATCCAATTTACAGTCTGGCCAGATCACGGTGTACCTGATGATCCCAACTTACTGCTGAAATTGCGTCGGAGGGTTAATGCCTTAAGCAATTTTTTTAGTGGCCCAATAATTGTTCATTGCAGGTATTTTTCATTTCATACCCTAAAACAGAATTGCATTTTAACATAACAGTAATAAATGTGCTTCATTATATAAAATTAGACCTACATTCTGAGGTGTTGAACTTACTGTGTATGTACAACCAATACCAACTTTATAAATTATCTTCTACATTAGTTATACTTTTCATAATGATTACTCTCTGGTGTGTTAAAAGAAATGTATAGTTGTTTTATAGGTAGTTTCTTTCTATTGTATTATGGCCAGAACTGAAAAATACAAATTGTAAAAATATATTTTAACAGGGTTATTCACAAAAGGGTGAAGAGTTTGGAGAAGTCAGGAGAAGAGAACAATCTAGGACAACATAGCTGAACTGGAAAATGAGCCGAATTGGAGAATTTTTCCAAATCAGCTACTTTGGCCTAGATTGTTCACTTCTTCTGCCTTCTCCAAACTCTTCATCCTTTTGTGAATAACCCTGTTAGTAAGTCAGATATGAAACACTGCATATGAATAGTTTGACTTTATATAGCCAGCCAGTAGGTGACACTATCAGCATCATTTAATGTGTTTTCTAGGTTTTCCTTACCTAAATTGTTTAAAAAACCTTTTTACAGAGCTGACTATTTCAAGGTCAAATTTACAAAAACAATGAAATGAGTCATATAAGCATTTCCTCCCCTTCTCTTCTTCTCCTTGTCTGCTCTGTTCAAATTAGCCCATCTGGGGTTTTAGTCAGAGACAGCATCAGAGGGCAAACAGCTTCTGCTTTAACACTTTCTATGGAAAACCCATAATGCTCTGTGACATGATTGTCAGGGGTGCACCCTGCTTTTTAAAATATCAGTATGCTTTTTGCAGTAAATCCCCCAGCCTCCTCCCTAGCCCCCCAATTTAATGTAATTCAGAATCCCCCAATCCCAGTGCATTCTTACCTCTCCATGGCACAGACGGTCTGTTGCAATGTTTAAATCCTAGGTGCAGAAAATCTCCTCCAGCACCCACAGCACATGAACAGTAAATCCCTGTATACTTTAATAGAAACCCTCCTCCTAGCATCTCTTGTATAGGAGGGAATCTCAATTCATATTTTGATGAATTACTACAAGAGCGCAGCCAACGCTCAAGGAAACATTTGCACTGAGGATTTAAATGTTGTGGGAGGACACTGCCACCATGGAGAGCTAGTAGTAGTGAAGCATGCACTGGGGTGGGAGAAGTTCTTAGTTAAATTAGTATGTTAGCATGGGGGACTGGGTTTTTTTAACGAACATTGTAGTTGTTCTGTAAAAAATGTAAAAATCTTTAACACATGTTTAGAATAAAATTTATAATAAAAAAATCCCCCTACTCTGCAAATTTTTTTTATTATTGATATCTATCATTTTCCACTATATCAGACTAAAAACAAAGGATAACTTGTTGTAGGTCTGATGCTCCTGTTAACAGAGTGTTGTAAACTAGCATATTTTCTGCTGATTGCTTTTATAGTGCTGGAGTTGGACGCACAGGAACCTATATAAGCATTGATGCCATGCTGGAAGGTCTGGAGGCAGAGGGCAGAGTGGATGTTTATGGTTATGTGGTACAGCTGAGGCGCCAGCGCTGTCTTATGGTCCAAGTAGAGGTGGGTATGGAAAAATAGGCTGAATATCTGCTAACCATACCAAACTTTGCTCTACTCCATTTCATGATGTACAAGTTCATTATGATGTGATTATTATGATTCAAAGGACAGAAAAATGTAAATGTATCTTCTATATACACTTTTAATTAGAATGTAATATTGTGTACTTTTAATATGTTATTCACAAAATGCATTCATTTTTTCAGTAATAAATAATCATTTAAAAACACATGTTATTTGTGTGAAAAAATGAAGAGCCCCTAATATAGTCATTTCAAACCTGTGAAAATCCAGGCATTATGCATAAAAGCAATTAGTGTACACACATTCAAGGACAAGGGAACACTCTTCCAAATCACCTTTTCACCCCAGATCTCATTCCTGCATTATAGCTGCAAACAAGTACAAGGACACATAGAAGAAGGCAATGTATAGTGGTGCACAAAAAAAAGAGAGGAATTAGAGTAAATAGAGTTAGATCACAATATTGATATCACTAATAGAAGAGTCAAATAGCTCTCACTTTACAAAATAATTATATAAATTATTAAATCAAGAAGATCAAAACAGTAGCAGAGGTAGTTCTTAGACTAGACAAATACGGTGGTAGCCTAAAACTATGGGGGTTATTCATGAAGGACCGAAGGTTCCAGCCGTAGCTTCAGCTGATCCTTTGGCTCTCTTCGGCCACCTCAGCCCTTCAGTTCAGTCGAACCGAAGGGTTGCTATATGGGCTATTCACTATAGCACCCGAAAGCAGCTGAGGCATATGCTTCGGCTCGACTGAGCCGAAGTGACAGCCGAAGTGGGGCGACTGGCTGGTCGTTCGCCCCACAAATGACAGCTTGGCGGAGCCAGCCGTGATCTCGCGGCTGGCTCCGCCTAGTTGTAATGCCAGATCAGCGTCCCCAAATGACCTGGGGATGCTGATCTGTCATTAAACAACTGGGCGGAGCTGGCCTTGATGTCACAGCCGGGTCCACCCAGTTGTTGTTCATTGGTCGGGACCTGCTAGAAGACTCTAGCAGGTGTTGACCAATAGGAAACAGCTGGGCAGAGCTAGCTATCACTGCTAGCTCGACCCAATTGTTTTTTCTAGTATAATTTTTTTTCTTTTTTAAAATATCTTTATTAGTTTTTAATTTCACTATTTATTTACATTTTTTTAAAAACCTTTTCACTATTTTCACTATTTTCTATTCTGCTCAGTACCATGGAGGTACCCCAATCGGCGGCATTATATTCCCCAATCGGCGGATATTCACTCACTGCTGTTTGGCCCCTATGTGAATGCAGAGCATGTTCGGCTGACCGAAGGCAGCCGATGTACAGCTGATTTCAGCTGATGTACAGCTGATTTCAGCTGATGTACAGCTTGTCGGGGGGGGGGGGGGGGGGGTAGTGGTAGAGAGGAAGGAGGGGGCTTCCAAACACAACACTGTCAAAAAACATCAAAAAGAGAGAGCAGTGCAAAAACTACATGGTGTGTTAGGTGGTAAAAACATGTATTAAATAATAATATAATGCACCCATGAACAAAGATGCATTAAACGTGTAGTGTAGATAATTCTGGGGTGCAACTGGCTCCAGCTTTTCCTGTCACTCGGTCCTGGCCAATGGCAGGGGAATGATGTCCAAGACAGAGAAGGGGGTCACCTCCCCTATGTCATGGCCACATAGACCAGGTATAGAGAGTCCTCAGTTTGCAGTTCACTTGAACTTTGGAACTTTGATACTGGAAGTTTGTTGTAGCAGTGAGGTCATTTTGCCCCCATGAACTTTGTATATGTGTGTATATAGTGGTGATGTTGTAATATAACATTTTGATGTACATTGTGTTTGAAAAACCAAATGAAATGCATTGAAGTGACACAAAATTCAAACTTTTTTTGATTTTGCAGTTCTGGCCTTATAGCCCTTAACATAATCCAATTTTAATTTCTATTTTTAGATTGCAATCTTACCTATATTTCGTTAAAAAAACAGTTGGGCAAGCTCCTGCCGACTCCCCGTTCTTCCTCAACTCACCCCCGCCCGCACTTCTTGATCTTACCGAGATGTAGAGAAAGCACAGGAGAGAAGCCTCTGGTGCTGACACGTGCATCTTCCACAGAGCGGGCAGAATGTAAATTGGAGGGAGGAGACAGGAGAAGTCAGCAGATTGCACTTAAAGCATCCTTACGTCTAGTTGTAGATAACATTGTGAGCGAGCACTGGGGTGGCTACTTTTCAGCGCCCATAAGGACCATGGAGAAGAAAAGTAGCCACCGTCTGAAAGGAAGTTATTACAGAGGAGAAACAAATAATTTTTTACAGCATTTACATGTAAATGATTTCAAAGTGAGCTCAATCATTATTAATTGATTATATCATATATTTTATCTTTTATTTTATTGTTGAGTTTAGTGTCACTATAACATAAACATGGTCTATAAAGTTGTGAATGTGGTGCAATAATGGGTCTTTATTGTAATGCTTTTTCTTGATTTGTATATTTATAACAGTCCCAGTATATGTTCATACACAAATCTTTGGTGGAATACAACCAGTTTGGGGAAACAGAAGTCAGCATGACTGAACTGCCGCTAATACTCAATAACTTGAAGATGAAGGATCCTACTTCTGAACCCTCTCAGCTAATGTGTGAATTTCAGGTACGCTGACCCTCAACTGTGTCCATGCTGTTATGTAGATGAGATTGACAGACTTCTATTGCTTCCACTGAAGTTTGAGGAAAAAAACATTTGCTTTCTTTAAAATTAGCAATATACTTGTAGTTGTCAGCAATGTATACGTCAGGTTGGGAAACAGCTTAAGTGTGTATTTATTTTAAATTTTCAGCTTTTATATAGATAGTTTTGCTGTAAAAAATGTAGAACTGTGCAAAAGTCTGAATAACTATAATATAGCAAAGAAGAGTGGAAATTCACAATTCTGTGCACCAGTTTGTTTTACAAGTATTTTCAACCAAATCCAAAACACATCTAACTTGGATATCATGCAGGGGAACACCCCAGCAAACATAGGGGAGAATTTATCAAAATCTGGAGCAGATTTGCACTGCAACCAATCAGCTTGAGTTGGTCACATTTAACAAGGCTTATTCTGTTATGTAGACGATGTTTCAATACTCATCAAAGTAGAATATTCAGCTGGTTGAACTGAGTAGCTTGGATGAATAGGGACATTTAAATGAGTATTGAAGCATCTTCTGAATTATAGAAAAAGGACAGTTGTATGCTTCTAACTGCTATTAGATATTTAATGACCTGATTAAATTAGAACCTAGGCAAACACCCCAGTAAATATTAACAGTGTTATTCACAAAAGGGTGAAGAGTTTGGAGAAGGCAGAAGTGAACAATCTAGGCCAAAGTAGCTGAACTGGAAAGTGACCTGAATTAGAGATTTCTTTCCAAATCAGCTATTTTGGCCTAGATTGTTCACTTCTCCTGTCTTCTCCAAACTCTTCACCCATTTGTGAATAACCCTGTAAGTTAGTTCCTAGGACCACAGGAACAGCTTCCCTTTTAGGATCACTGCGGCTTATGAGAATCCTACAGGTGTGCAGTAAACCCTGTTTCCTAGGTTTTTTCCTCTTTTTTAATATTTTATTTGTCCTAAGTGAGGCGTTAGACACACATATGTGATATAAATATGTAGCCCTATCTGTCCTCTAAAAAACAATATATAATATGTGTGGGTGCACTTTGTAAGAAAGTATATTACTGACGTGGAAGAATCACACAGCAAAAATGTCAAAAGTGTGTCAGTCATTTACGAACAGAAACTAAAAACAAGCTCAGTCATGAAGGGGTTAATGCAATTCTTTACTGTTTCTTTAGTGGATTTATACATGAACTTGCTCTATGGTTTTGATTTGATATTAGAAAAGGGTACACATTTATTTATAGAATCGACATATGTCAAAAAAACCGCAACAAACTCCTGGTCATTACACATAAATGTTTTATATTTTTATATATTTCAGAGATTACCATCATATAGAAACTGGAGACCACAAACCACAGGAACCCATCAAGATAACAAAGATAAGAACCGCTCCTCAATTGTTCCTTGTAAGTAATCCAATAATCCAATACATTTGTTGGGGTCCCCATGTTATCTAGGTGAGGTATGTCGCTTTTCCTAGATGATAGATAATCCTTAAATGCAATCTGATTATCACCTAAATCATAATAGTGAGTGAAGAAAGACAGTTTACACTGCCATATAGTTACTAAACAAATGGGTTAAAAGAACAGTATTATTCATTGAACTATACAAACTGTGAACATACATTAACCATTGCTATACTCTCACTATGTTATGGTATATTGCCACATAACTTCAGGGTGGCTAAACAGATTTCAGGAACATAGGAGTAAATTTTGGCAGTGAATTTATGATTGAGATTCATGTTAGTGATACAGTATCTGTAAAGAGGCTTTTACATAATATTTATAATGGCTGTGATATTCTTTCTTCTGCTGACAGAAGTTAAAGTAAATGCACATTTCTGTATATAATGTATTTATGTATGTATGATGTTGTGACATGTTAACAATTTTAAAAAGTGTTTTCTTTTTTTATTAATACAAAATATTGCATATGAACATTTTGTGTTTATGATTTCATTCCACCAGGTGGAGTTCTAGGCTTCTACTTGGGATAATCCTAAAGAGATCTTTACACAATAGGGTCACTTTTACAACAAAGGTCATCTATAAAAGAAGTGTTTATATGCTACATTTTAGAGTGACATATTATAGTCAGGAGGAAACACAGCAGTTGAAGTAAGAACAAGTATTCTACACACGCAGATGTGCAGAATACATGCAGCAGTTAGGAATTGGAGTTGTGACTGCTTTTCAATATACAGGCTTACTTCACTTCAGATCGGTCATTCACTCGGCTGCCCTCGGCAGCTTAGTGAATAGACCGCTAAGTACATAAACGCTTCTTTTACAGGTGACCTATTTTGTAAAAGTGACCCTGTGGTAACAGGGTCACTTTAAAGGGGCCTTTATACAAGTGAAACATGCAGGCTCTCATTCAGTATGCAAATGGATCAGTTGCAGATTTAGATTGCAAGGTGTCTTCCTTTTGGTTTTTGAGCTCGATGCACATGTGTCTTTTCAACTATATACTGTATGTAACCTTTAAAGCAGATCTTGTACTAAAACACAAGGTCCACTTATCTGGCAACTTCCACCCTCTGATTACAAAATGCTGAATAAAAGCAGTTGCTGTTGCTGATGTCACTGGGACTTAAAGGCAGGATCTTAGACAAATTTAGAAACCCAACCCTCACAGAAAGACACTCCAGCACTAGGCATGGGCTTATTCTCATGGTATTTGGGATTCTGAACCTTCTCAGAGAGTAGACCCAGTGACTTAACCCTCATCTAGGTGAGCCAGCCAGAGCACATATTTTTATGTTTTACTTTCAATTTCAGTTTTCTTACTGTTTACAGGTGGCATTTTGTGAATAGGGGGTGGGGAGCTGTCATATAAGTGCACCTTTTGGTTGCATTGTCCACTTATCATGATCGTTTACATTTCTGTTAAACATAGCACTAAAAATGTTGCATGTGTTTTTGTTAAATAAGTCTTTTATATTACTATGCCTGAGATGAAGATAATGTAACATTTTAGGATGTATTCATTGCAGTAATCTAAAGGGTTCACAAGCGTTAGTCCAGTAGATAAAATAGTAAGCGATGGGAAAATTGAATATGGAACTGCTATGGATGCAAGGCTGGGAATGATTTCATATACATTAAGGTTGCATTCATATGGGGTATTCTGTAATACTCGAGGCAATAATCTACAAATCCCTGCAGCAGGAATCCCAGGTGTCCTATTCAGATGTGGCAGCTGTACCCATTCAAGTAAATAATAGGGTGACAGCTGCCACCTCTGTCAGTGGCACTACATGGAATGATTACATGCAGTTTGAAATAGATAATTGTTACTGAACACATCTATCCTGCGCCCAGTGTCAGTCATCTATCCCAAACCGGAAACTAGAAGTCCCCGTGTGAACAGAGCCTTAAACACATAAAATAAAATATGCAAAATGAATACAAAGGCTACAAGTCTGACACACTACCACCATTAACATTATGCGGCTGGTCATGTTTCGACTGAATTTTATGTGATCCAGCAATTTTATGCGCATATACCGTACAGCATTTTTATCTATTTCACATGTACAGTCTTTATGTTATATAAACATTATATAACATACCAATAATATGTTTACCATAGTTTTGTGTTTATTAGGATGTTCTATGTAAGTTACTGTCTCCTTATCCATACAGATGAATTTAACCGCGTTCAGATCAAGATTGATGAAGAGCCTGAACAGGAAGTAACAGAGGATTCTGAAATGTCTTCAGATGATGACAGTGACTCTGAAGAGTCAATATATATCAATGCCTCATATATAATAGTAGGTGCATTCACATTTGTGGCTAAGATTGTCTGGATTCAAAAAAGGGCAAATTTTATACAAAGCAAATATGAACACTTTGTGAGTTCTGGCTCATTAGTGTCCTATAATCAATTTCACTGTTCAGTATCAAAATCCATTAGATTTACTGCACTGTTTAGTAAAACAATTTATTACATGTTAACCATGGAAAAGTTGTAGCACAGTGCACCGCCCTTCACAACTTTGTGAACGGGTCTTAGGGCATGCTGCAGTGACCTGCGTTGTAACCCACCAGATCAATGCAGGTCACCGCAAGGACACATAGAATACAAATGTTTTCTGTGTCCCATTTACACCATAACAAGGGTGTGATGGGCGGGCTGGTGTGATGTTCTGCAATGAAATACAAACATAATGCATTTTATCGCAGTGTACTGCTGTGTGAAACCTGAATGCAGTGTACACATTGTAAACACCACATAAGATTTTAAAAAAGTGGATGGGCTAGTGCCAACAGGCCCTAAGTAATAGCTAGACAATTTGGAATATAGTAACAATTCTGTAAGCAATTCCAGATCATTGTTGATTTCCCATTTTGTCAAAACTTACAGGGTTATTCACTAAAGGGTGAAGAGTTTGGAGAAGGCAGGAGAAGTGAACAATCTAGGACAACATAGCTGAACTGGAAAGTGAGCTGAATTGGAGAATTTTTCCAAATCAGCTATTTTGGCCTAGATTGTTCACTTCTCCTGCCTTCTCCAAACTCTTCACCCTTTTGTGAATAACCCTGTTAGTCTCCTTATTTGGGCTTGCACATTTTTACTGAATTGTTAGGAATTAATGGGAACTCACTTTACAATATTCCCACTCCTGCCCTGAGCCCCTAATGCATGTCCAGGTTGATCTCCACAGACTTCAATGGAAAGTCCCTTGACAGGTAGTGAAATCGTTTTCTATTGACTTATATGGTAACCAGGAAAAACAGGCAAAGCTTCTAGAAAAATTTTAAACTAGGCTGTGTAGAGCCAGGTGTGTTTTTAGTGAAGATTTCTGAGTTGCTGCATTTCAGGTAAGGATATTATATTGCAGAAATTATTAGAATAGGGAGAGGCAGTTTCTTTGGATAGTGCTCAAAAAGTGCATTCAGCTTATTTGTAACTTGTGTTGTTTTGTTGCAGGGATACTGGGGAACACGGGAGATAATTGCTGCCCAAGGACCTCTCAAAAACACACTATCTGAGTTCTGGCAAATGATTTTCCAAAAGAAGGTCAAGGCAGTTGTTATGCTATCTGCACCTAACCAGGAGAACAATGTGAGTAGTGCATACATATTTTATGCCCCCTTTTTATTTTGTACATTTTCAGACTACCACTATTGATCCTTTTCTGAAGAAGTATATATTTTAAGTGTCTGCTTACTAATCAGGCTGGCCCTGTTATCTACTATTAAAGTACAAATAAGAGTCAATACATTATTTTGCTTGTCAACATTCTCAGGAGGCTCTTATGCTTTTATACATGTGTCTCTCCAGGAAAAAAACTGTGCTCCTTACTGGAAAGAGAAGAGCAAGACATATGATGACCTACAGGTAGAGCTAACCAGTGAAAACTCATGTGGCAGCTATACTGAACGCTGTTTTGAGATCAGGCATGCTAAGGTAAGATATTCCTGGTGGGTAAAGACTTTCTTCAGTAGTTATATTTATTTTTCTTGTTACTTCAATACACTGCAGTTCCTAACTCAAGCGCTGAGAGTCATTTGCAGTCCATCCTTGTGCCCCAAATGAGTCTATATATACAGTACAGTGTTGTGCTAAAAATGCAATGGTGTATCTCTAAAATAGTTATCCAAAATACCATCTAATATTTGAAACAAATATAAATATGTTCAGTGCCAAAACAAATATCAAATGATTATCACAATATCAAAAGTGTGATGTGCAGACTAGTGAAGTCTGCACATCAAATCAGACTAGTGAAGTCTGCACATTGTGAAAAATACACAAATATTCTAGTGCAGTTATTATATCATACAACTGAATTTATAGTGTCCCATATATAAAACTTTATCCGTTCATGTGTTTATTTCCAGTCAAAGCAATCCACCGCTCTTATTCCCACAGTGCCTCTTTATCAACAAACCAGCCCTGTGCAATCGCATGAGATAATATCTTTGATCTGATAATTTTTTTATGTTTTTCTTATTTCTAATTCTTTTCTTCTTGAATTATTTATTTTAACCTACTTACATGCATAACATCTCCTGAATGTTTATAAACTACTTCCTGAAAAAAAGGTTATTTTCTTATCTCTTGGAGGATCCTCTCTATTATGAACAGGCTTGTTCCTCAAGGTTGGAACCCTCCTTTAAATGATCTTGGGTATTCTGGAAATCCTGTACCCAAATCTCTATCCTTTCTTAACATATCCCATAGTTTTCTAATGATCCCTTCCACATTTTTGTGTTGTATATTATAGCCCATATCAAAACTGGAGCAGACAAAATCTGGAGCAGTTGCCCATAACAACCAATCAACTTCTCTCTTCAGTTTGCTCAGTTAAGGTTTAAAAATAAAGAGAGGTGCTGCTCCAGATTTTGTCTGCTCCAGTTTTGATGAATTCCCCTCAAGGAATTTTGTTTACTTATTGCAACAAATTGGACGATGCTTTATAGGTATTTTTTGCTTCTTCCTAATCAATCAGTGGGTTTAGTGTTCTGAGGATGCAAAGTTTTGATTATTACTTGGTCATTTGGATGAACATGATACATCTTTTTTTAACCCGATTAACTATGTAACTTGTGTAACATTGTTTTCTATTTATAAAGATCTTGCCCACAATATTCTTATGAATAATACCTTCTCAATGGAACACCTCTGCTTCACTAGGGCTGGCTACTGACCAGCCTTAATGTGGTTTGCTTGGTTGCCTCATGTCACTGGCATGAGCCATTCAAATTGCACACACAGATGTGTAGTAGTTGAGCTGGTAACCACCAATCAAAAGGTCTGCCTCCTGTGCTAGTACTAAGATTCACTGGACCAGTGGCATTTGATCAAATGGCACAGTGATTTCATGCAGGGGATGGAATATCTCCAGACAGATTGTCAACCACCAGGGCCCATGGCACACAGCCTAACTGGAATGCATGAGAGAGAAGAATGGGTACTGTTTATATAGTCACATTGGATGCTTCTTTTAATTGTTAACTATTTTTATATAGTGAACTTATCTAAAGGAATCTGTTCCTGGATGCTGCTAACTTCTACTAACTTCTCCCATCCATTGGTATTTAGGAGACAACCAATTGTAGAATTATCTGCACATTACAAGCATGTACACAGTGAATACATGTGGCTGTGAATCTGCTGTGTTTTTGGATGCGGATTCTTATATTCTGAGCCTCATTTTCAGGAATCAACAGAGTGGCCACCACTGATATTTACATTTATCAAAAATATTTTGCTTTGAAATAAATATAGAAAACAAACAAACAAATACAGCACTTTCAAGTTGTAAACCAGAAAGAGAAAAATAAAGTATATACAGAAACCTGTCAGTACTGTGAGATGCCTGTGAGGTTTTAATTTGATTGCCATAATTTTGGCTGATGCCTTATGTATATCACATATATAAACACATGTGTCTGGCTTTCCATCTCCCTGTAGTTAGGCTGTGAAAGTTAAACTTGTTTTCCCATAATATGTAACCTAACTCAATTTTTACCACAAGTAACATTAATTAGACATTGCAACTCTTCTGTAATTTCAGAGGAAAGAGGTTAGAAAAGTGTCTCAGTTCTCTTATGACCAGTGGGAGGAAGCTCTTCCTGTAAAGATCAATGAGCTAATGGATATGATTACCAAGATAAAGAAGGACATTCCAACCAAGAGAATGGAGGAACAGACTAAGCATGACAAGACAGTACCTCTCGTTGTTCATTGCAGGTACAATGTTGATGATAATGGTAATAAGTAGAGATGAGTTTTGAGTTTGACACAACCATGAGTTTGACCCAAACCCAGCCCCTTCTCAGTTCACAGCTAATGCCTACAATCTGCTGACAGTGCAGAGCCATGCCACAGCTGGGAAAGATACCAACAGTATTGCCTAACAGCTGGCTCTGCCTCTCTAGAGCCAGTTGTGTCTGTCCCCTTCCTTTTCTGTCCCTCCAGTGAGTGCTGGAAGAACAGAAGGGAGTGGAGGGAATCCCAGTGGGAAGCAGTAATTGGTAGTTACTGCTCTCTGCAAGGAGAAGATACCAAGATCACTTACATGATCAATCGGTTCTTGGTCTTGGAGCCGGCATGTGACAGCTGCAATGTCCCACACCAGTTCTAAACAGTGGGGAGAGTATATTTTACTCTCCTTGCACTTCTCCTTAAAAAACATTTTTATTCAAAATATTTGTATTTTTTAAACCACTTTTTTGATTAGCAAAATCCTACCATATTGCTATCATGATGGTGACACCATTGTTCATTATTGAAGCGTTCAGTGTCAACTATCTATCACTGGACTATGAAAGAACATAATCACACTGCTGAGGTTAGCTTATAATCTTAAGCGTTTAGTGTCACTTTAACTATTAACAAAACTGCAAAGTATTTGTGTATCACTCGGGTGTAGGTCCTCAAATAATTTCTGAATTCAGGCTGACACTGTCCTTCTTTCTGGAGTGTGGCTACTTTCGTTCCTCGTGGTCCCGTGATGGACTACAATCTCACGTTTAGTTTACTAATTTGTATTAAGATTGTAGTCCATCACGGGAGTGAGCTTGGAGTAGTGGCTACTTTACAACACACACAGGGACCAAACAGTCACCCTCCAGAAGGAAGGACAGTGTCGGCACCAATTCAAAGATGAATTTAGGATCTACAGCTGAATTATACACAAATAAGCTCCAGGAATCCATCTTTGGATGGCGAGTCTGCATCCAATGCCCCAAATGTTCAGGAATCTATAATTTTTAAATAAATGCTTGGAAAATGTTGTTTTCTCTGTAGTAATTGTCTTTGCCTTTGCATATGGTGTATTCCACAGTGATGGATCTCAACTGACAGGCACTTTTAGTGCTCTGTGGTATCTTCTAGAAAGTGCCAATGTGGAAGGAGTCATTGATGTCTTCCAGATTGTGAAAAATCTACGTAGACAGCGCTCTGGAATTGTATCTTCCTTTGTAAGTATATTAGCTATTATGGCTCGACAAGTGATGCATGGCTCGTAGAACTGTGGCCAGTCTATGGACATTAAAATATTTAAATATTCTTAAGCAGTAACAGAGCTTTAAAGCAAGCCATTACTGAACATTACAGCAAAAACACTAACTTTCATTTTAGCAGTTCAGTTCATTCTGTTCCTTCCCCCCTTACTCATGTAAAGTAAGTTGTGGAAGAAATAAAGGGGTGGAATTTACTAGATTATACTGTAAATGTATATAGAATATACTGAAATAGGCTACTATAACAACAGAAAGGCTTTTACTTTTATAGAC